CAGTGGATTTCCTCCACAGAAGCAATGCAGGTTTTCTGCCATAGGAACATCTTAAAACCCTGAGTTCCACCATTAAGCACTACATAGATATCACTACATAGGTGAATCACTGCACTTAAAGATTCAGCACTTGATTAATTAACACTAGCTTGGCATACAGGCAGATAACTATTCTGAATCACTGTAGGACGTACACTGAAGATACATGTACAAACACAATGCTACACATATGCAACAACTCACTCAGCTCTATGTAATTTCTCTCTCTCACACACAAGCAGATGTCAAATAAAGCACTCAAAATATTTATACTATTATTCCGCCCCTCCACACAAATTCAATAAAAATAACTCCCCTGGTTCCAACCCTGTCAAATATACAACTAGCGTAACATTTTAATTACAATAGCAGATCTCCAGGAATGAGAACCATAGGATTGTTTTCTCTCATTAGAAAAAATAATCACTAACATCTGCTTTCTTACATTGTGAATGTACATACACCATATCACACATTGCCATGCTTCTGTCATTAAGCTGATGCTTCGGAAAAATCAAAAAATGTATTTCAGCAAGACATGATTCTAAAAATGCCTTAGACAGAGTTCCTTGATTGGGGCAATGTGCATATTTTTCAACTGGGGCCTATTATTTAGAATTTAAGATCCCCCAAAATTATTAATAGAGTGCCATAGCCTATTCATTCCATTTAATAGCACCTTTTCAAAAAGAGATTTGAAAAGTACTGGGTATTTTTGTAAATCTGTACATTCAGGAAATAGCATTTGTAGGATACGTCTGCACATTTGCCTTTGCTTGTTTTTGTAACATTCATTTTAAATGCCTTTGGGTTTATTTCTTTCCTTTAAAGTCAATTTTGAAATACCTTTCTATTACATGGTATTTTCTCTGTCCTTATAATATGTTAGATGGCCTCCTGAAAAGCCAGCTCCAAGCAGGCCCAAGACAGGCCGTCTTCATAATAGGTTCAGGAGGAGCAGAAAAGCAACATATACTTAGTTGTCTTTATATTTTAAGTGGAATATTATGAAATGGCAATAAATAAACAAATAGCCCCGCAATCAGGAAATCCTCTCAGATTTTGCTTTTTATAGGCAACTGTAGGTCTCAGTGGGCTTCTCCTTTAAAACAAATGCACTGGCAGCATAAAAATGGAGCCAGGTGAAACATATAACTACCATGTCAAAAGATGTGGTCCCTTTAGTCCTTACTATAATACAAACCCTGCAGGATGATCATCTGCAAGGGAACAGATTTGCTGGGAAAGCCGACCTTCACATTCCCATCTAGTGAATACAGGGTTATGGCAGGGCAGGGAAGGACTGACAGCTGGACGAAGGGAAAGCTGAGCAACTGGGCAATGATTCAAGCACAGTACACAAGAATGGGGCAGCATTATTCCTTTGGCATACTGAAACCTCCCTTTATTAGGTTAGCAATTTAATATAAAAAAAGACTTCTCTGGAATCTGAAAATTAACACTGAGGCTGATTTGAAAAAGCTATGGTGAGTGAATGATTCTTAATACCATAAATTTGCTCCATATTTCAGGAATGTATTGTCCTACAACTTCTTTGCTTATCCCATTCCTCATCTGAACTGGAGGAGGAATAAACTAATAATTTTCAACCGTAAATGTAACTTGTCTTAATGTACTTCTGGCAGCTGGAGGAGTTTCTGTTCCATTTATCAGCTTGGCCCTTAGAGATCTGGACTATTTGAAACAAAGTATTAACCTCAATTCATATGATGAGCACGCTACTGGAATAAAGGAAGATTAAATTCCAAGCAGTCTTAAATAAATTCACCAAACATCATCAAACTGAATTGACCGTATTTATCTGAAAGAAAGCCAACTTTGAATTTCAGGCAATCCACTCCAAAAAAGGAGGATTATAAGCTTTTAAATTTTTCACTGTACACACACAAATGCAGAAACACAAAGATACTGTATATTGAATAGTTTCCCTTGCTTGTCAGCTAGGGTTGTCAGTTCTGGGGACTTTTTTCCTCCTAACGAATGTATTCATGTGGGCCACTTAAACAGGTGTGTGCATATGTGTATATGGATGCACACACAGGGCAGAGAATATTCTCCAAAACTCTTCCAATTATTGTCCAATCAATCTCCTAACCATACTCAGTAAATTATATGCACACTTTCTATCCTACAAGCTTCTGGACTGGCTAGAACAGGAGAAATCTCTACCTGATGAACAAGCTGGCTTTAGGGAGGGCAGGAACTGTGAGATCCTACAGTTCCTAACAGAGAAATACATGCATGCTTACGCCTGCTCCCCATATTGATTAAAAGTCAGTTTTTGATTCTATCTCCAAGGAAAGAGACTGGAAGAAACTGTTTCATTCCTCTATAGACTGAAGATTACTTTGCCTAATCAAGATGTTGCACAGGAAAATATACTGTGGTCAGTGGCCATAATACAGATACCACTATAATTAAAAAGCCATAGTATGGGGCTTCACATGAAATAGTTAAACGTATACCTCTTCTATAGACATAATTCAATCAGCAGTTGCTTGAACATTTCAGAAGAGAACACTTTTAAGGAATTCAATTTTCCCTATACAGGTAGTCCTCGCTTAACAACCATTCGTTTAATGACAGCTCAAAGTAATGACAGCCTTGGAAAAAGTGCTTTACGACCTGTATTCACACTTACGACCATCACAAACCATTACACCAAGCCCTGCAGTCACGTGATCATAATTTGCAACCTTTTTTACAATGGTCATTAAGTGAATCACCACAGTCGTTAAGTGAATCACATGGTCATTAAGCGAATTCTGGCAAAAAACATCCATTGGGGAAGCTGGATTCGTTTAACAACCACATGATTTGCTTAATGACTGTAGTGATTTGTTTAACAACCTTTGTAAAAATGGTCATAAAATCAGGTCCGGTCACGTGGTGACTTGCTTAGTGACTACCCCTCTTAACAACTAATTTTATGGTCCGTATTGTGGTTGTTAAGTGAGGACTATCTGTAACCTGTTCATGTAAGACAGCAAGAAATGGGAGCCCATAGATGCCTCTTGGAGATTTCTTTTAAATTAAAAAGGAATTTATAGGATCAGAAAAATGTTTCAATTAGGTAGCTGAGGCCAAATTTTTCAGACAATTAAGAAAAACATAATGAGACAGACAAATCTTTCAACCAATTGTTTGTTGTGAAATTTTATATCTGCATATTTTTTCTCTGTTACATTTTGTTTCTTTATGCTATATAGCTTTAAGAAGAAAAGCCTCATAATGGCTTAACCCCTTGATCACTAAATCTCATCAGAAGGTTCCCTTTGCCATTGTTGCTACAATTTCCTTTGTTTGCATTGCCCTATTGATTTAGAGTTTGCCCATGTATATGAAATATATAATACTTGTATCCAAATGCCGTAGGAGAGGAAGGTATAGCAAAGTAATGAGATAAAAGCTGTGATACTCTTCTCCCAATTCCAGAATTCAAAATGAAGTATTCTTGCCCTTTGCCCTGTCTTCCAATGCTTCAGATGTCCTTACCAATACCTTATAGACTAAGGTTTGTATCATTTGATTGTTTTTCTCCCTAATCTACCATTCTGGCAGATTCCCTGAGCAGGTGGCTTCATTTAGGTTTTATGTATGCATGTACTTTCCTCCTGATACATGTTTGTGGGTTTATGTTCCTGTCCATAATTCTTTGCATTTCCTACCACAGGTCTTAGTAAAAAGTATTTCATTTTTCCAGTGTTCAGTTTTTTGAATAAGGAAACATTTTTCGTAGTTTGATTATTCTAAGCCAGGGTTCCCATCCATCCCTCCCCCCACCCACCCCAAAAAAGTTCCCACTGGGATTTTTTTTCACAGCTATTCCTCTCTCAAACAACTATGCTGAGTACAGAATTGTTGAGCATTGCAGAGAATGTTGGCAATGCACCCGTGTTGCCTTCTGTGCCAAGCTAATTGGGTGCAGTTGTTATCTTATGGAAGCAGAGGATATACTAGATTCCGCCCAACTTTTTTCTTGCAACTGGACAGAAAGCTAAAAATAGCTATCAAACATTCTTGGACTGTGAATTCTGGAATTTAAAAAATCCAACTTGATATTCCCCCTTTTTGTCACTGAAAATCCCCCTCAAGATTACATCAACTGAATTATTTCATTAATAACGAGTTTAAAAACTTTAATACTTCTCAATACTGCTTATGAGTGGACTGTTCAACACTATTCCTTCAACTAAGTAAAAGTTAAAATACTATGCATCTACTACAATACTGACTCTAATCTGATTGTTCATTCAGCTAAACAGATGCTGATTTTAGGGAAAGTACTTGCCAAATAACTGAGTGACCAGCATCAGTAAAAGCCACCAAAACATTTCCACTGGGTTTGTACACATTTGGATGCGGTTACTTACAAATGTGACCTCAGATTGAATAATCTCTTTAAAATAGTTGCTTGTTTGACATCAACAGCTTCCAACCCAAAATTTAAATAAAATATGTAAAGCCACTTCAACAATTTTTTTTATCAAAGTCTAAATGAAGGCATCTATATGGACAGAAAAATTACAGTAGTTTAATTAAAACAGGAAAACATGGGAAGTTGGCTCCAGATTTAGAGCAGATTCATTTAAATCATCTAGTCATGCTAAGGTGTCCCACTGATTTCATTGCACTGACTATTCTTACTAAATTTGAATCCAGATATGTATAAGCAAGACCAAATTCTTAAATATGTAAAACAGCCATCTTTTCAACTACCAAGATTTTTGAACTTGAATAATTCAAGCTATTAGGGGCAACAGGGAAGAACTATGTAATTCATTTCTTAACTCTGTAGCTATTTTGTATCTTCAGTTTCTGAAATGTTACTTGCTAATTTATTGAAACTAAAAACAAAAAACAAAAAAACTGTAGTGCTGCTAAGAGTGCTAATACTGCCAGGAACAACCAAGAACTAACACAGTAATGCCAACACTCACCATCTGAATAGGTTTCTTGTGCAAGTCTCTCTCTGTTACCAGTTTTTCCTGGTCAGTAACATAGAGGCCTTTTTGTGCCAAAGCTTGGATAACAGCATCATGACCCAGGAGTGGTTTGGCAGCATCACTCTTCAGGATGAGACTCCCCGCACGACAGTAAAGTTCTGCAGACAGCAGCAAGTTAACAACAGGAGGTTTAATATGTTCCTGGTCATACTGATCCGTATAAAATGGTTCTCGAAGCTCATCTGGTATATTTTCTGGAAAAATAAGAAAAACACACATCCTTTGAGTTAAAGATGACAGTCTAATTCTCAAAACAAGTACATAATCTGTTCCAAATAACCATAATACACTAAAATGACTTCATAATTGCTGTAATACCAGCATATATGTCTAAGTTCCATTAAGCAAAACATTCAAATTATCTGCAAAATTTGCCAAGACTTAATCCCTTATTTTGTTTAATAGAAGCTAATAATTTGTTCATTTTGGTGGTTGTGTGATAACGGGAAAAGATAGCTTCAAGGCTTCTGGTGAGGATTCATGGTGATGTCCCTGAAGGAGCAGGGGTGGCGTTGCAGCAGAGATTAGAGGCAGGACAGTGAATTCTGGCTGGTGTAGTCTTTCTAGATAAAGGAGAGATCATGAGATTGCCCACTTGCACTCCAGACAGCTGCTGTTCGTGAGTAAACTGCAGGAATTGAGGTTTTTGAGTTGAAGGGCTGAGAGTCGAGGGATTTCAGTCAAGCTCACAGCCATAATGCAGCCTATATGGACACAAGGTTTGCATGAGCCTCATTTCTTAAAGACTTTCGGATGTAATTAATTTACAGCTAAAGAAAGATTTTCTGAGTGGCAGGATAAGAAAATTCAATTTGGTGAGTCAACATTCTTTCTGGATTACAAAGGAAAAAAAGGTTTTAAAGATTTAAAAACTTTTCACAAAAAGCTTAACAAGGAGTGGATGTAAGGACGTTTAAAATGGATAGAGGGGATAGTTACTTTGAAAGAATATTTTTTGGTGAAAGTGCTTTTGAACAAATTGGAATTAAAATAGACAAATAAACCGAACTGTTGTCCCTGAAATGACTGTGTTGGCCCAGCATGTGAATAGCCAATCAAAACACACTGAGAGTAGATTGCAAAAATTTATTCTGTGAAGAAGAAAGGTGCAAGTGGGATATCTCTCAAAAGCAAGCACCCCTCTCAATGGGATGGGTGAGCTTTATATAGTATTTTGCATACAGTTTCAACATACAGTTTCAACAATAATCACAAGATTGCAGAAGTTACAAACCATTCATATGTCAATAAAGCTTCAAACTTCAGTACAAGATATGCTTCCCTTGGTAACATTCCTCTGCTATCTTATAGAAACCACCAGTTGAGAATGTTCCCACCCTGTATGCATACCTGTTGTTTTTTAAATTGTTCTTTTCGACAAAGAGGGGAAGATCTCTGGCAGGGCAAGATGGAGTAAGCTCAGGCTGGTACCCCAGAAATGTTTTTTGTTTACTATTAAAAAGTGCAGACAATTGGTGGATTTTACAAAACAAAAGATAAAGGTAGTATGAGCCAGACTGTGATACTGACTGTAACTATGGAGTGCCATTTGAAATGCAAGTATTAAGGGCACAGGAAGACAAAATAGAAAAAAAAGGGAAGCTTGCATTTTCTCTTTCCCATGCAATTGCAACACTTTCATTTTTGGATCATAATATTATAATGGCAACCACCAGAAAAGCAGCAAAAATAGCAGAGGAGAGAAGAGGATTACTAGAGCAACCTGCAGACAGAAGAATTACACCAGGTTTCCTTCAGAAAATGTTTGAGGAACTGGGTAGTAAGTTAGCTGAATCACTTGATAAAAATTGCCTAAATTACTTGATACTAAATTGACAGTTTTTGAAAAAAGAATGGATGAAAGACTTGTAAAGATGAAAGAGGAGATGACAAAAGTTAAGAAGATGGAAAGCTTTGTAAAACAAGTGTCTGGAGATGTAAAACAAATTAATAATATGTGAAAATTCTGGAGAGTAAACCAGAAATTATAGACAGAGTTGAAAAGAGAACTAGATAATCTGGTTCTATTGGAATTGAGAGAAGGAATTTTGTTTGAGATTTAAAGGAATCCTAGAGGATTCTGGTAAAGATATTAGAGAAAAGGTTATTAAAGCTTCAGCAAACTTTTTGGATTGAGATGAGGAGGATACAGAGTCAGAAATTGTTTAAGTATACAGAATAAATGCAAGATTTGTGAGAATAAGAAATATTCCAAGCGATGTTTTGGTGCAGTCAGGAAGAAGACAAGGGATCAGGTTTTGCAGCAGCATTTTAATACAAGACTGAAGATTGATAATACAGATGTAATTATTCTTAAAGAAATTCTTATTAGAATCTTGCGTAAGAGAAAGGAGTACTCTTTTTTGACTGAGAGATTAAAGTAAAAAAATATTCAATTTTGTTGGGACAAACTGGAAGGTGTGATTTTTACTTTTAAACAGCAGACGTTTCAACTGATTTCTGTCTAGAAGGTGAGAGGGAATTTCTAGAAAAAAATTAAAGAGGAATTGGAGGAGATTCAAATGGAGGTGTCAAATGAGACTACACAAAAACTTCAACAGATGCAACAGGAAACTGAAAGGGATGATACTGAACTAGGTGCTACAGGTACAGTGGAACCTCGAGTTACGAATTTAATCCGTTCCGTGACTCTGGTTGCAACTCGAATTGGTTGCAACACGAGGCAAATTTTCCCATAAGGTTCAATGTAATTACCGTTAATCCATTCCGGCATCCGCGGACCACACGTCAGGGGCGGAAAAATGGCCACGGACCACGCAGCAGGGTGGAAAAACGGTCGCGGACCACGCGGCAGGGCAGAAAAACGGCCACGGACCACGCAGCAGGGGCGGAAAAACAGCCGCGGACCATGCGGCAGGGCGGAAAAACAGCCGTGGACCACGTGGCAGGGCGGAAAAACAGCTGTGGACCACGTGGCAGGGCGGAAAAACAGCTGTGGACCACGTGGCA